CGAAGATTGCCGTGGTCCCGGGTTTCCTTAGGATCTCCGTTCCTATATTCTCCAGGTAATCCCTATAGATAGATTCGAACTATTCGTGCGCGTCTCCTATAAGGAGTGCCGCGGCATAGAGTACCTTAGTTTCTTCCGTACGGATACTATCCTGGTAGAATAGGAGATAGCCTCTAAGCTAGGTAATAAAGCTCTAGAGCTATCCTCGAGTTCCGTTATACTTAGGGGGTGTAGGGTATCTATACTTAGCTCCGATCCTAGGATAGTTTAGCTAAGCCCTTAGGGTCGTATTCTTCCCCTGAAGCTAAGTGATTATATCGCGAATCTGCTAAAGGTCGTTATTTTCTTTAGTAGTAGTAGTAGGCGTCGCGGTGCTTATAGCGTTCGTGGTATGGTTATTATTCGATATATTAGAAGAGTGATTGCTGGCTACTTCGTCGTCTTATTAAGGTTATTCCGGTCCTTCCTCTTCGTCGGAGGAACTGGATTCTTCAGACGATGATTCTTCTTCCGATGAAGTGACTTCTTCTTCCTTGTGCGAAGTAGCTTCTGCTTCGGGCGTACTGCTCATTAGCTGTTAAGGTCAGCTCACCGAACAGGATCGATCAAAATATTACGACGGCTTCCGGTCCTCTATAGTATAGCGGACGATAAGGGACTGGCGTCGAGGTTTTAGTTTAAATAAGAAGAGGATGCTAACTAAAGAGTAGTAACTATTATTCGTAGTGTCTAGTCGTAGTTACGTCGTAAAGACTAGGCGTCTCCTTTATAAGGTAGAGTTAGGCGTAGACTAATAGTCTAGGTAAAGACTTAGATTAATCGATATCTTATTCTCTAATAGAAGTAAGACCTAGGATACTCTGGTTTATATAGTGATAGCACCTCCTTACCCGTAGCGACTATTCCTCGCGTGGTTACTATGTCTAGGTGATTTTGTCGTAACTGATCACTTATTGGTCACTTTGGCCGAGTGACCGACCCTGGTCTATCCCGGACGACACACAAGTATCCCCGTACCTGGTGACACGTGACCCAGCACATGACTCCCTGAGTCACCCCGTGCTGTCCCCGGTCCGGGGCTGTCCTATAGGATATATACCAGTATACCCGTGGGGTTGGTCCATGTTAGGCGGCTGGCCGTAACAATAGCCTCCTCTACCCCCTTACGGCCGGGTATTATAGACTATAACCTTAACGGTAAAGCCGTCGAGGAAGGGGATCTGGGGGCGTTTATCCCCGGATCTAATAATTCAAAATAAGCAGTTATATAAAGGGGGGGGTCCTTAGCTTATACGTCCGTAAACGGCTATAAATCTCTAGTCCTCTCCTACTCGATCTAACTAATTAGGTCTTCTAATTACTCCTCGGTTAATTAACGGAGGTTGTCCTTAAAGGTGGCGATATCGCCGTTAAAGAAGGCGCGTTCGTTCAAATCTATATCGCGCGTTCGAATAACGCGGTTATAGCGGCGTAGGCTAGGCACCTAGATACGGAAAATATTAGTAGAATCGTAGCCGACGAGGTAGCCAATATAGGCGCGAGGAGCGATACGATTTAATAGCTTATTAGTAGCCTTTTAGGCGTCCTTTATTATCGCGTACGCCTTATAGCCGTAAGCTCGAAGGTATAATAAAATCGGCTTCCTTTTAAAGAGGACCTCGTATAGCGTTTTTTATTCCTTATTATACTACCTTTATAGCGTGCGGTTATAAACGTATATAGCCGTGGGAATAGCCTTAGGCTATATAAACGGCGGTAATTTTACGTGGATATTTATCGCACGACCTTTCGAGATAACTATAGTAGTAACGCGTTCGGCACCCCCGTTCTACACTTAGGTGTCGGCAGTAGATACCTCTAAAAGGATACTCTTATTATACAGGAATTAGGTGATATCGTGGGATTAAGTTAACTCATTATCAGATTCGGAAACGCGCACCTTAAAGCCTAATTAACGGTCTACCTAGGCGAGGAATTCCTTAATTATTACGAGGATATCCACTACTAGCTTACTCTTTATAACGTAGGTGGCCGTAAAACCACTATAACGGTCAGTGAAAAATATAAACCGCGAGTCCCCGTCGGACGTTCTATTAAAATCCGTGAAATTAATCGCCTACCGCTCCCCTATATAAGCAGGTACAGTATAAGGGCGCCTGCTAATATACCGTTTAATCTTTATAAGCTCGCAGGCCTCGTAGTCGATAGTTATTAGTCCCTTTATTTCAACCCCCTACGTCTACTCTTCTAAGTGCCTAAGCAGTTTAGGGCTAGCGTGCCCTAATCGTAGATACTATAGGATACCCTCCGTAGTGCTTAGATAGCGTATCGTCGATTTATAGACAGCTTTTCGGGTAGAAGAAGAGCCTAGAAAAGCAGCCGTAGATTAGTTAGAGGGCATATATTTAATAACGGTTTAATCGAATCGGTGACTTAGCTAGTATAGTATAGATCTATTGGAACGCCGAATATAGTTATTTAGTGGCTTTTAATCCTACTAGTATCTTCGAAGACGTAGGCGTTAGTTAGAGATTAAATTACAGGTAAAATCCTCGTAGTATACGACGTTTAATAGCCTAAAATCGAGGCCTCCTATTAGTCCGTTTAATCTCACGGTTATATTACCGTAACCTTTAATAGGCAGGGACGAACTGCCTATAACCACGTAGTCTCCCGGCGTGGCGGGTATAAAATCAGAAAAGCGGGAAAAATTGTTAAAAATATAAATAATAGCACCGGAATCGAGGATAGCAGAGGTTTGAAGAGGGTAGCTAATAGCAGTGCTAGCCGTAAAGGTAGCGGCGTAGGAGACGCCGCTACGGACGCTGCTATAGTTAAGTCACGCCTTTTTAAGCTATACAGAATCCCGGCTTATATCCTTCTTCACCTTCTTTACGGCGCGCAGTTCTTCTACTTCCGCGCGTAGCGAGGGGTCGTATTTAAGGATCCCTTAGACGGTTATTTTAGTGCTCTCGAAGGGGATCTAATCGTTATATACCGTATCCGGGAATAAATAGAAGCAGGCGTTAATATCGTGACCAGGTATAGCATATACGCAGTAGATCTAACCTCTCTATAGAGCAGATTAGCGGCGTTTAGAAGAGGAACGGTTAGTTAAAGTAGGTAAAGTAGCTAAAGTAGCTAAAGGTGTAGCTATAGATACCGCGGTAATAGGATTCTTAGCTTTATTCTTCCCACGGCCGCCCTTCTTACGGGGCTTAGCCGTGGCCTCTAAGGTATCTTCACCCTCTTCGCTTCCGGTATATAGTGCAGGGAATACTATAGCGCGGTGGCTACCGCGTTTTCCTTAGTCTTTAAGTCTGGTGTTAATATACTTCTGACTAAGGGTGTAAAGGTCTTCGGGTATAACTACCTGGTTATCTACTAGGCGACCCTCGGCCTTAGTCTAATCGCGGCCGGTATAGGGGCGTATACCTCTAAAGAAATCTATAACCTATATATACATAGCGGGCTTTAAACTGGTAGCTTCATAGCTTTACAGCAGTAGCTACCACTTATCTAACCACTCCCCGAGGTTCTTAAGGCTATTTGCAGGATAACGAGTATACTCGATATACTCTTTATAGGTGTCGGTTTAGCGGGTGGCCAGGTATTAATCCATATCGCGTTTAACGGCTTTATACACCTTACGAGGTATACCTCCTCGTAGTAGTTATCTATAGCTTTAGTCGATAGTATTAACCTGCTAGGTTAGTATAGCGTTAATCCCCTTTAGGTAGCTATCGTATTACGTTTATAAGATCTTCTAACGCGCGATTTCGATATTGTACGCTTTCTAGCCAGCGTCTATAAGGTCGAGATATTACGTAGGGGTACGCTTAGGCGTTATAGAGGGGAAAGAGTCGTAATTCGGTATTATAGGCTCTTCGGGGGACTAAGTCGGATCGACTAGGCGGAGAAACCTCTACACGTTATTATAGGTGGTAACCGATTCGTATAGGCATCGCCAGAGCTCCTAATCCTTATAGGTTTTATACGTAATAGGGCTAAGATACGATATCTTAATAGTTATTTTATAGATTAACACGCTATATCGGCGCGGCTAGATAGCTTCTTAAATCGATAGTAGTAAAGGTAAAAAGTAGGTAAAATGGGTATATCTTCACTTAGTAAGTAAGACTCTAAATTATTAAATAAAGCGTAGTTAAAATCGTTATGAAATAGGTTAAAATTAATTAAGGTAATTATGTATAATTTCTTCCTGTTTCAGACCGTCAGGGAAACGCTACCACCGTATTTTATATAGTACAGATTCTATAAGCGTCCACCCGGATTATACTCTTAGCAATCCGGCCCATTACGTAACCGAAAAGACTGTGGTCTATTCGACAGCCTATACTAAGTACCGGAGGTCGCCGGTTATAGATAACGTGTCCCTGCAGTTCTACCAGATAATCTCCTTAATATAACTCTTCACGGGATTATAGTCTCCACGCAATAACATCCATACATACCAAGCCGTCACCTCAAGCCACACCTTAACCTCGGAGCTTATTTTTAGTTCTACCCCAAAATACGCCAATTCATTGGGATGAGAAGCATGGTTTACAGTCGTTGCCTAGCAGCTCGGATCTCGGCTAGTCCCGTCGCCTCCTCGCATATTGTATGTAACGCGGCGCCGGACGGAGGACGATGAACCATGTTCTCCGGATCGTTGTGCGACCAGAGCTATGCCCCAAACCGCTGCAAATCCCGTGCCCACGTCCCAAGCGAGCGGGAAATACGCAGATGGGTAACACATTCTTATGTATGGCCCGACGGTCTCGAAAAGTCCCACGGCCTTAATCCATCTCGGGGATGTTTCGGCTTTAGCCCGTCATGATGCACGCGCAGTCATAACTTGCTAATTTATATGGAATGCCCTTGGCAAGCAGAGAAAAGACGGGGGAAAAAAGAGAGATCAAACGCCTCAGCCCTATAGATGAACCCGACAAACACACCCCTGCATGTGATGAAATTCACATACGCAGCTGCATGAATCACCTCTTGAAAACCGCCTGCCCCAGCCTCTCAATCTCCCTCCCCTCCTGCGAATTCCGCCCCGCCGCTTCCAGCAGACGGGTCCACGCATCAGCGTCCTTGAGCCGGACGGCCTCCTCGGCGGCTTTGACGCGCATGCCGCACTTTTCGTACATGGTCACCGTCTCGCCGGGCTCGAGGCCCGTGCACTTGGGAATGAAGATGGCGGCCAGCCGCGGGTTGCCCGCTTGCAGGGTGAGGTTGTAGTAGGGCTGCATGTGTTCGTTCGAGTTAGTAATACTTCTTTTTTGCTTTATTTTGGGAATTCGCGATGGCAGAAGGAGATGAGCAGGGGGACGTTCATGCGATGGCCGGGGGAATGTGTTGGGGGAAACATCGCCATCTCCGATGTGCGACGGAGTCGGGTCGGTATGGCCGCCGATGGGCCCCCAACCTCCACCAAAGAACATCGTCGGTCGCGGGCAATCAAAACAGACAGATGGACGGACAGAGGAACACAAAACACCCCCACAAGAAAAAGAAAAGAAAAAGAAAAGAAAAAGAAAAGAAAAAGAAAAGAAAAAGAAAAAGAAAAGAAAAAGAAAAAGAAAAGAAAGAGAAGAAAGAAAGAGAAAAAAAAAGAGAAAAAAAAAACTCACCTCCCACCCAATCGGACTCTTCTTGGACTTGGCAACGTCTTCAATCTCAGCCCAGTCACGCTTCGCCACCAACGCTCGGAGCCTAGATTTCACGTCGTCAGCCTCAGATGGATCAATTGCAAACATGTTGCTAAGCAAGGGAACGGGAGAGGTGGCAGGGGGGCCAAGGTCAGGCGAATAAACAGACGACAAAAGGCAAAACCTAGGACAAACGTAATGAACATACCGGATCCAACACGCCACCTTCTCCGGCACCTTAAACTCGCTCTGTATCTTCTTCGCCCGGCCGTGGTACCCAAGCCGGATGAGCTTGAACATGGTATCATTCACACTGAGGCCCGTAAACGGCTCGGTCAGGTCGCGATCGAGCGCCTCCTGCAGCCTAAGCAGCGCGGCCGCCTCCTTCAAGGCCCGTACCTCGAGGGCAGCCTCCTTGGCGTCCGCCAGGATCCGAGCCGCCAGCGCCAGCTTGTCCCCCGCGGTGCGCGCGTCAGGCTGGCGCATCGCCTCGCGGACGAAGACGTCAGCGCCCTCCACGCGCCGGTCGTCCTGGTAGTAGAGGTCCTTGAGCAGCGCGTTGTCGGCCTCGCGCGCCGCCGACGCCTCGACGAGGGCGGTGGCGGCAGGGCGCGCGTTGATGACGCGGAAGAAGGCGGCGAGGGGCAGCTTCTTCTTCATTTCCAGCAGCACCGTGTACATGAGGTCCGAGTCGCCGCTCTCGACGGCCTTATCGAGCGCCAGCTCGTCCTCCTCCATGCTGAGGAGCAGCGGCACCTGGCGGCCGCCGCGGGGCTCGTGGTTGAGCAGCTCGGTGGCGAGCCGGCCCCTGCCTTCGTCGTAGGCGGCGCGCGCGATCTCTTCGAAGGAGATGCCTGGTTTGCCGGAGAGCCGGTCGACGATGGTGCGGCAGATGGTGGTCTCGTCGTCGGTCCCCGCGCGCACTTTGGCGCAGGCCCAGTGCACGTAGATGCGGTCCGTGGGCAGGTGGAGGTAGCCGGCGATCTTGAGGGCGAGGAGGTACTCGTGGCGGCTCAGCAGGCGTTGGAGGAGGCCGTCCGGGGCGAGGCGCTGGTACTGGGCGAAGGAAAGCGGCAGGCCGACCTCGTAGAAGCGCACGGCGTTGAGGACGCGTAGGGTCTCGCACATGTCGACAAAGTCGTCGCTGTTGTAGATGTCGAGGACCGACTTGCCGAAGGAGGCGGCTTTCAGGAGCTGCTTCTGCCAGTGGACGCTCCACTCGCGGCCGGCGGCGTTGACGCACGTGTCGACGGCCTCGGTGAGGTTGGGCCGGATGAGCTGGATGCAGTCCTCGGCCTTGGGGGACTGCATTTCCAGCTGGTGGACGGCGTCCAAGAGGATAGAGGCCGGCGAGGATTCGGTCTTTGCGCCGAATACTTCCTCGGTAGCCCGGGGTACGCGCTCGAGGAACTCGCATACATCATTGGTGATGAACCTCGCGCCGTCATGTTCTGCTCTGGTTAGTCCTAAGACTTGGGAGTGCGAAGGGAAAGAGAGCTCGGTACCAGAGATGACGTGAACCCGTCCGTCGTAGAAGAAGGTGGCCGAGGCGTTATCGGGCCCGATCAGGTGCACCTCGTCCTCCCACGCAATGACGGCGTCCCTGCCACACCACTCGACATACTTGGGCGGGATCTTGGATTGCGAGCTATACTCGATAAACCTCTGTTGAAAGTCGCTGGCAATCACATGGGCTGTGCCGGACTGCGTGTACAGGGCGGCACAGGCGCCGTCGGGGGAGACGCTGACGTGGCTGAAGGGGCCGATGTCGAGGAATCGGTCTTCACATTCGGTGGGGTCGACCACGTAGATGGTCTGGCCGATGCTGAGAAGCACCTCGACGGAGCGGGAGAGGGTGTAAGCCGGGGGGATGACGGCCCAGGAGTGGATTTCGCCGTCGGGAGGTGAGGCGAGAAGTTTTGGTCGCGGCTCGGTGTATGAGGTGACGGAGACGAGGGCGTGGTTTGTGAGGAGGGCGACCATCCCGTGGTCATAAAATCTGATATCGTATCGTCATAAGAGACTTGACTTGCGGGAGAGAATGGAAGAGCTCACCTGCACGAGTGGACGCCGTAGTTATCAGCGCCATTCCCGAGGGAGAACTGGGTAAAATCGCCTTGAAGGTCGTAGACTCGCACGGTCCCGTCTGTGGTAACAACGAGAAGCCTTTCGTCCTCGGTCCATCCGAGACCCTTGATAGAGCCCTTATCCCAGGGGATGGCCTTCAGCTGCTTGCCAGCATAGCTGTAGATGTCGATACTAGGTTTGGACGATTGCTGGGCGCGAAACGCCTGAATCTTGGATTCATCTCGATGGAGAGCTGGGCGTCCATTAGCAAGCAGGGTAGTAAGCGTGCATGCGTTTTGAGAGCCATACCTAATGCGCCTCCATATGGGGCACCAGCAACGATGTAATTATCGAGATCCACGTCTTGGTCGAAGACCTCGGTGTAGAGCTGCGTCTTGCGGAACCACTTCTCACCAACACTATCCCATCCTGCTGCGGGGTGAGAGATATCCATGGTGTGTCATCTCATGACATTTCGTGCGTTTGAGTGGTTTAACCGTAAGAAACCGGATACTTCTTTCGGTGAAGCAGGGAGATACTCAACTTGCGAGTGAATGAGTGAGGTGATGTGACGAGACGGACGTTGGTCGGGGAGCTTGAGCTTCAGGGAGCTTTGAGCTTTGGGAGGTTCAATGTTGAAGTGGGGACTGTGGGGACTGTGGCTGGTGATAAGATAAGCTGATATCGGCTAAATTACGGGAACAAGCCACAGTTTCGTCTTATCTGCGTCATGGAGGGGCACACCTTTAGTTCACCGAGGGAGGTGATGGGATGGGCAACGGGGGGTTCAACGTAAGGTACCTTACCTTAGTCACCATAACTCCCACTGCTGAACGTCGTTCTTCATCTGGCTTCTTCATTCACCTCGGTTCATGTGAGAGATTTCTATTTCTCAACGCCATGCCAGGCTGGCGCGACGAGTACCTTGCGTCCCTGCGTGAGCAAGAGCGTAACAACCCCGTCAACTTGGAGCTCGTCGACCTCTGTACGTCTTACGTCTTACGTCTTACGTCTTGGCTCCTCGGAGACCATTCCCATGATTCCCACCAGCCTGCCAGTGGCGTCCTCTCTATCTAACCTTCTCCCATGGTAGGCTCCCAACTCGCCGACCGCATCGCAGCTCTCGAGGCCGAAAAAGACGTCCTAGCCGCCCGCGCCGCAACAACAGCACCAGAGACGCGAAAGTCCAACAAAAAGTCCCGAGAACCACCACCGTCCACAGAAGACACCACATCCGACCCGGCGATCGCCCAACTCCGCCTCGACCTAGCCGAATCCCTGCGCTCCCGCGGTGCCCTGCAAACCCGCCTCAAAAAGGCCGAGGACGAAGTCGCCGACCTCCGCGCCAAGAACAGATCCGACGCGCGCCGTGTCAAGGAGCTGTCTGCCGACCGCGCGGTGCTGATAACCAAGCTGCGCGACCGGGAGGACGAGATTCGGGAGAAGAGGAAGCTTATTGAGGTATTGTCTTGTTCCCTTGTTCCCATTACTGTTATTTAGGCATGTAGAGGGGAAGAAAACAAAAAAGACAATGCTGATGCCCCGTCTCCTCAACATGCAGAACGTTCAAGACGAAATGATCGCCCTCAACCTTCACGTCGCCATGGCGGAAAAGGAGCGCGACAAGGTCAAGAAGGAGAATGCGGAACTGGTCGACCGGTGGATGAAGCGGATGGCGCAAGAGGCCGAGGCCATGAACCTGGCCAACGAGCCGCACTTTGAAAGGAAGCGCTGAGGGGGAATGTCCTTGATGAAAGCTGATGTTTCGACTGGGTTGCCGAGCCGAGTCTTCGGCACTTGCGGACTGCCGAGAAGAGAGACTCGGGCCTTCTCACCAGTGCCTCCATGAGGGGACCATGGTTTGATAGCCTCCCGAGATCTCCAGCCCTGGTATCCGCATCGGAGAAGAGCTGCCACGACTGACATGCCCCTGACGATACGAACACTCGGCTACCCTCAGTGGAGAGAATTTTTTGAGAACACGCCAGCTGCATACCTCAACATCCGCTACCAGCATCACGAACGATTGATAACGGGGAAAAGGATGCGAAGAAGTGTGATTTCCAAACCCAAAAGATGTCAAAATCTCAGGGTTCTGCGAATGAGACCTTCGGTCTAATCAGCATACAAGCAAGCCCGAACCTTGTACTAATGGAGCCCATGGAGGCGCCTCATACACCACGGCGCAGCGTTGACTTTTATGCATGGAGAGCAGGAATAGAACCGTCTGGAGCTGGCCGGCTACCGTTATTCACTCTCTATCCCTACCTATGATCACCAATAGCCGGTCTGGTCTGCATTCAGTAGCTTATGGCTCCCGAATGGCCTTCTAGTGCCAGCAAATAAAGCAACATCTTATTACGGTGTTTCCAATTTTAGATATGTATGTTCCATTGATTCAAGGCATCGTGATAGTCTGATACGATGTAAGAAAATGGGTATGTCTTGCGTAAGAATCTATACTACAAAAGTGTTTCCGCTATGACTATAAGTCGGCCTCGCTATGTTATGCTGCGATGCTGTGCCGGGCTGGAATGGCTTCCACCCGGATGTTACGCTTGCCAAATCTCGATGAATCCTCCGGTATCTTTAACCTCCTCTTTCGCATGGCCATGCTCACCCAACATCATTGCTCTTTGTTCTTCCCCTCTCTATTTTGACACCCTCTCCGGATGCTCTTGTCCCCGTTCTAGCTGGCGGCTTGGGGTTCGTCCATTTCGTTTCCAACACATTTCCTCATCTCACTCCCCATACTGGATGTCATTTGCTCTCGCTTGTCATGGCATTCTAGATGCAGATCGTATCGTATCGTCCCGTTCACCACCTCCTACTTCCTCGTGGAGATGCAGAACGTGCCGCCGGCATTGGTCCAACTGACGTGACCCTCAGGATAGGTATGGTGCTCGACCCGGAGGATATTGCTCGCCACGTCGTTAATATTCCGGCCGCCCTGGTCGTCGTGCGTGAACGACTTGAGCGAGACGATCCGGCACCCTTGCTTGAGGTCGAGGAACATGTTGACAAGCTGGGCGTTCAGGTCCGGGGTGAAGGCCTGGTTGTTGACGAGGACGACGTCGGCGCGTTTCAACACCTCGTGGACGGCGGGCTCGGTGAGGAAGTCGCCGCGGACGAGATGGACGCCGCCCGGGGCGATCCCCCACAGGCGGCACCGGCGCGCGAACTCGCGCTTCTGCGCCTCGGCAAAGTCGCACGGGTTGTCCATCATCTCGCACCCCCAGCTCTCGCAGCCGACCTCGAGGGCGGCCTGGAAGACGACGTTGCCGACGCCCGAGCCGAGGTCGACGAAGACCTGGTCCGAGGTCATGCGGGTCATCTCCTGGAGGACCTTGTCGACGAAGATGTAGTTGAGCTCGCCGTAGACGTTGTCGGTGCCGTTCTTGTACTGCTTCAGCTTGTCGACGTCGGGCGAGACGGTGCGGTCGTAGACTTGCGACAGGATGAACTCGGCCAGCTTGTAGGGGATGGCGTGCCGCTGGGAGAGGTTCCGGCGGAAGGTGCCGTCTTGGGCGAGGGACAGGATCCGCGCGTTCGCGTCGGCGAGGGCGCGCTTGAAGCCGGCGAGGTCGTTGGTGTTGGAGGCCCTATTCAGGCGGCGTATCAGGCCCGTGTTGGGTTCGGTGAAGTCTGTTGCTTGGTCTGCGGTCAGGTAGAAGTCGGCGACGTGGGTGACGACGTCGATGATGTCGCTGACAGCATCGATTTTGCCGTTTTCGATGAGAAGGTCGTAGCTAGTGGGCGTGGAGTTAGCATAGTAGCACAGGAGGCGTCTTGTCTCTCTTCCTGTCTCTCTCTCTTTTTTTCTTCTTCTTGTTTTTTCATTCCATCTTTCTCTTTCTTTTTCCTTCCTTTTTTTCTCTTTCTTTTTTCTTTCTTTTTTCCTTCTTTTTTTCTCTTTCTTTTCTCTTTCTTTTTTTCTTTCTTCCTGCCTCCGTTTTTATCATCACTTGGGAACGCTTACCTTTCTGGCGGATATAAACTCGGGTATTGAAGCTGGACGCGAATATCATCATCCTCCGTCGCCTGCAAAGCGCGATGGGCAGACGCGGAGTGCGAGTGCGAGTGCGCCGTGCTTATGATTTCCGTAGCATGAATATACCGCAGCTTTTTAGGGCCGGGCCCCTCGGCGGGCTCAAAGGCGTCGGCGCAAGTCAGGGCGCGCTTGTGGTCGATGCGGTCGTCGGCAGAGGAGCGATGTCGCTTGCGGTTCTCGAGCGTAGCGAAGACGTCGTCGTCGTCGTCATCCTCGGCGTCGGAATCTTTGTCGAAGTGAGGCTGGAGGGGGTCGACACTGCCGTGTTTGCGTTTTCGACTCTGGCCGCGGTCGCGGTCTATGCGGCGGCGAGGGTCGGAGGAGCCGGAGGACGCAGGGGAGGCGGGGTAGGGGTAGGGGTAGGGGTAGGGAGATTCGCTCTTCGATTTGGACTTTCTCCTGCCCGGGAGGTTGGAGCTCGCGACTCGGAGAGAGTTGTTTTGTTGGTTGACCTTGGGTTTGGGCTTCGGTTTGACGGCGACCTCGACCTGCTCGGTGTGAATGATGGGGGGTTTCTTGCGCTTTGCTGTGAGGAGGGGCATGGTCGGATGTGTGAGACAGGGAGTACGGGCTTGTCGAATCTAAGACATAAGGAGATTGGGTATAATGGTGGTTTATTGTTCTTTGAAGATGCCTTGAGTACACTAAAGAATGGGTGTGTGGGAGGAAAAGGAAAAGAATAGGTACAGAGAGAGTGCTAGAGCGCCTTCGGCTTCCGGCTTCCGCCACCAAAGGTACGGGTGGGTAACATGGGTTCAGGAACGCTCCTTTCTCAGGGTCCGTTTCGTTGCCTGACAGAGCACTTGCCGTTTGCTTGAAACGGGGACGAAGTACAGATAGTACAGATACCTTAGGTAATACGAAGTATTTTGTACTTTGTACTGTATTGGGTACTGTACGAATACAAGGAATTAGGTAGTGTAGAAAACCCCCATCCATTGCGCGTTGCGTCACGTCCCGTCACGTCTGCGGGACACGGGACACGAACACGCATTCACCATGCGCTGCTTACGAAGTACTTCCTGGAAGTACTTCGTTACTTCATTTGAGCCCCCTAAACCCTGCTCGAATCGAGACGTCGATTCGTGATTTCTTACTCCTTATTTCTTACCAAGCCAACAAGCCAACACCATGGTCATGGGGATCTATTGGGATCTTATGATCTGATCCATCCCCCACCCCAACCCCTTCATTACATCTCCCATTTCCCCAGCCAGCTCGCCATCTTCAATGCCTCCCCGTGGCTGTCACGATAACGGAACGGACGGTGCAGACGGCTCTTCGGTCTCTTCGGTCTTCCGGTTTCCTCGGTGATTTCTCTCGTCAGCTCTAGTGTTTAGGCAGTAACATTTATCCAACGATTCGTTCCTGGAGCCAGGCCGTCGAACCAGCCAACCCTTTTTTCCTCTTGGTGCCTCGCCTCGTGCCTCGTCCCTTCACGTCCACCACCATGACCCTCCACACATCGAACCCCCGATTGGCGCTCTCGCCCTCGCCCTCGCCCTCGCCTTTGCCTTCGCCTTCGCCCTCCACAAACGTGGCGGCCGCCTTGAAAGGTGCCAATTTCGCCTTCTCCAAGACGGCCAAGTCGAACCCCGTCACCCCGGCCAAGAAACCCAGCAACAACGCCCTCGCCGCCGCCGTCGCCGGTGCCTCTCTGGACAGAAACCATAGCAGGAGCCCGGCCAGGAGTCCGACCAGGAGCCCCGGGGCTCTTCAGAGCCAGAGCAGGCAGACGACAGGTGGTAGTGGCGCCCGGGCCGACGCCATGGGCAGAGACGAGCATTTCGACCATGCGTCGGTGAGGGACCGGCTTTCGAGGCTAGGCGTGAGTCCGTCCTCGTCCGCCCATTTCCTCCAGCCCTCCTCGTCCGGTACCCCGCCCCGGAACAACAGCCCTCTCAACAACAAAAACACATCCTACATCGCCGCCGCGCTGGCCGCCTCGCGATCCGCCTCCCCGATTTCCACGAATCATACCGGTACCCCCGTTCCGAGCAACCCGTCTTCCCTCACCAACAACATGCGTGCCGTCCCCGTGCCATCCAGGCGCAGCGACAGCACGGCGAGCAGTACCCACGACCTACCCGACACGAGTTCCATCGCGCCGACCAATTCGCTGATCTCCGTCTTCGAGGGCTCGAAGCCTAGCCCCGCCGTGGTAGAGGACATGGATCCCGTCAAGAAGAGCCCTGCCGCACCGGCCCGGCGGACACCCACAGCCAAGTCGAAACCGACGCTACGGCCGATGACGCCCGAGAGACCGCCCAGCCCGAGGGGCAGGGGCGAGGAAACTCCCACACGTGGTAACGAGCGGAAAGAACCATCATCACCTCTCAGAAATGAAATGGTCCCGGAGGAGAATACCAAGCCCCAACCCGGACCCAAGCCGAAGCCGAAGCCGAAGCCGAAACCCATGTCGAAGCCGAAGCTGGACCAGACGAACCATGAACTATCCCACGACAGAACCGACCCCGCACCGAGACAGGCGCCTTCCAAGGCTGCCAACTCTACAGATACAGAGCCGCCCCGGTCACGTAGACCGCCGCTGCAGCCCACCCAACCACCTCCTCCCCGGGTCGTCAGCAGATCTACTCCCGAGGTGGTTGCTCCTTTGCCTACCAGGCCGCAGCAGCAACTCAAACTACGACCTCCTGTCCATACGAACGAGGCAACTGCTGGAAAGTCTGTGCGCCAGCAGCAGCAAATCGACCCTAGGATATCGAGAGATGGCCAGGTCGACAGCGGTGTGCGTCCTACCACATCCGGGACAAGCTCATCTAACGACAGTTTTGTTTCTGCATCCTCTGTCCAGACGCCCCGGCCGACCTCACCACCTGCGTTAGCTCCAGCTCCTGTAACTGCTCCTGTAACTGCTCCTGTAACTGCTCCTGTAACTGCTCCTGCTCCTGCCCCTGCCCCGCGGCGCAATGTCCCCGTCGCCGCTCGTCCTCCATCGGGGTTTGGATCGCCTGCACGGACCTCGGCCCCGGCCCTGCCCCGTCGTAGCCAAACCACGACGGCGTTCCAAAGCAACAGCAACCGCAACAGCAACAGCAACTTGCCCCTCGAGTCTCTCTCCAACGCCATCATGGCGGGATCCCTCGCAGCGTCGCGTCTAACGCCCAGCAACACGGGCACGAGCAAAGCAAACCACACCCTCGCCCTACCGCATCACCCCCACCACCACCACCACCACCACCACCAACAACAACAACAACAACAACAGAAGCAAATCCCACCGCCGCCGTTACCCCGCCGCCACAAATCCCCGCGCATGCTACAAACCCTGCGCCAGCCCGCCACGCCATCCGACGACGAGGAAACCCGCCTGCGCAAGAAGAAGCTCCACCACAGGCACCGCAGCCAGAAACACTTCCACCACGAGGGCGCGCGGCGGCGGTGGCGCGAGGAGATTACGCCGCGGGAACGCAAGCGGTATGAAGCGCTCTGGGCTAGTAACAGGGGCCTGTTGCTGCTGCTGCGTTCTCCGGACGGCGCGGCGGGGACGAGGGGTGCGGTCGAGGAAAAGCCGCCCGGGTCGCACCCCGACGAGTATGCGGATCATGTCTTGAATGTGGTTGTGAGGGAGATTTGGCGGCGGTCGAGGTTGCCGGATGATGAGCTCGCCGAGGTGTGGGATCTTGTTACCGGGCGGCAGGTGCAGGCCCAGGCTCAGGCTAGGGTGCTGCCGGGTATGCTGAGCAAGGAGCAGTTCGTGGTGGGGACGTGGCTGATCGACCAGCGGCTTCGGGGACGTAAGATCCCGGCCAAGATTGGAGCGAGTGTGTGGGATAGCGCGAGGGAGGTGCGGGTTGTGCCTCCGAAGGTGACGGAGGTGCGGGCTTTGCCTCCAAAGGTGACGGAGGTGAAGGCCAAGGTCAGGGGGAAGAGGTAGGGGAGGGAAGAGGTAGGGAAGGGAAGAGGGGTGGGAGATGCTGAAAGTTTCATCCATGGCATTTGAATATGTGATACCCTCGAGTTAAGCTGGCGAAAATGTCCCCCGTGTTTTCAAGCTATGTTGCCTTGCTCACGATGTGTCCTCAATGCTCACAGAAATTCCATTCCGCGTCCGGAACATTCTGTTCCTCCTCCAACCTCGTCCTCTCATATATCAGCTCCAACCTCGTAGCCTTGGCCTCCTCCCAGCCGATGGGCCACTCCATCTGCTCCAGCACAATCTGCTGCACCTCGGGCGGCAGTTTCGCGCGCCACCCCCCCCTGTCCCCCCCGTCCGCCTCCTCTGCCTCCTTCCCGCCGTCGTCATGCCCCTCCAGCCACCAATGCCTCTGCTGCGGCGGCACATTCGCGGTGCCGATGACCGGAAGCGCCGGGTCAACAAGAAACAGCGCCAAAATCTTCCGGTGCCCGGGCCGCGTGTCGTCCGCGAGGGAAAACGGCGCAACGCGGTGCTGGTAGACGTTCGGAAACACGAGCAGGCGGTCCTCGCGCGTGAGCACCCGGCCCAGGTTCTGCAGGGTGGAACCGTTGGGGTCGTCGATGGCGAAGGCCATGGTGATGGGGCGGAAGTTGTCTTGCTCGTAGCCCAGCTCCCCGCTCAGCCCCTCGCGGTCGCCGGGGGTGCGGAAGGCGAGGTGCGAGGGCGTGATGTTGTCGCTGTCGTAGTAGTACAGGGCCGTGGCGCAGATGTGCTCGTTGAGCTGGCCCTCGATGTGCCAGGAGCCGCCGTCGTAGGTCGGGTTCTCTGGGGTGAGGTGGATGTTGGCCAGCTTGACGATGACTTGGAGGCGGCGGAGGCCGGAGAAGAAGGAGGGGCCTTCGCCTTCCTTGTGGACGTCTTCGGCGGTGGGTCCTTCGCCGCCGGGGGGGCGGCCGCCGTCGGCGGGGTCGTAGGGCTCCGGTTCGGGCTGGGGCACGGGGTGGGTCGCGTCGAACCAGGCGTTGTCTTTCGCTTTCAGCGGGTGATCGTCTTCGAGGTCCGAGTAGTCGTCGAGGACCGGCCGGGGCGCTTCGCCTTCCTCGAGCGGACGGTGGTAGGGTTCGCAACCCCCGCGGTCTTGTTCCTCGTCCTGGCAAAAGTCGGGGATGGTGCAGGTGCGGGAGACGTCGTGGCATTGGATGCGTTTGTCCTTGTCGAACTCGCGCGGCCAGCGGTGCACCAGGTCCCAGAGGGGCAGGGTCTTGTCGATGACCTTTTCGATAATGGTGTAGAGGTCCCGGTGGCGCGTCGGGTGCAGGTTGTTGATGTAGCTGACGATCTTGGCGCGGCCGGTGGCCTCGTCCAGGTCGACGTCGCAGGGGAGCCACTGGAAGCGGGTGGACCAGGCGCCGGGGAAATAGCGCCGGGAGCCGTCGCTGCCTGGTCGGGGGATGACCTCGCCGATGCCGCAGGCGTCGAGGCAGTTCTCCAGGGTGAGGCGCCGGTCGGGCAGGATGCGGGTGCGGCCGTAGACGAGGGGCCACAGGGACGGGTGGACGAGGTCGAGGACCTTGCCGTCGCTGCGAGGGTGCCAGTCCTTTTGGTGGTCGGGGACGTCTTCGAGGCGGGCGACGGCGGCGCGGAGCTCGTCCTTCAGCTCGCGGGGGATGGCGGTGTCGGATTTGAGGACGGCGGCGGAGACGTCGAAGACGGGGACTATGCCGGTCTTCTCGTACAAGCGGGCCTTCTCTCGCAGCTCGGCGAGGGAGTATGCGAACATGGCGTCCGAATAGGGCCCGTGCTGGTAGCCGACGGCGCTGGACCAGTCGACGGAGGCAAGCTCATGCTTCCACTTGGAGACGATTTCGTCGTTGAAGACTTTGACGTGCCAGTCGGGCTTGTTGGTGATCTTCTCGACAAACCACAACATGTACAGCTCCCGGATGGTCAGGGTGGCGGCTTGCCATGTGTCCAGGAGGACGCTGGGGAAGGGTCCGACAAGCCCCCATTCGTTTTCGTAGGGGAAGTGGTTCAGAGGGCGGCCGAAGCCCGGGAGCTTGATGCGCTCAGAGTCCTGAGAGAAGTGTTGGCCCATGGCGGTAGAGTGAAGGGTAAAGAGGGTTGGTGAGACTTACTGAGGCCATAGGGAACAAGAGACGATGAAGATGAAGTAGCGGTGGGCGTTGGTTATGTGATGACGGAGTGGTTCACTTAAATACTTGCCTTCTATGCCTTCCGTGGACCATGGAGAACAGAAACTGAATTGAACAGTCTAGATGAAGTAGCGGTGGGCGTTGGTTATGTGATGACGGAGTGGTTCACTTAAATACTTGCCTTCTATGCCTTCCGTGGACCATGGAGAACAGAAACTGAATTGAACAGTCTAGCCTATGTCGTCCCCGCCTAGTCGCTAATTTCCATCCCTGCTTCTCTGTCGTGAGCTTATGTTCGGTCGACGAAATGATCATAGCATGGGCCATGGTGGTAGGCAGCACAACTAAATCCGTACAAGCTGGGGTGTCCATTCAGGCGCTACTAACTGCCAAGGCGCATATGCTCAGGGACCACTTGGTGATTCGATCCCTATGTTTATATTTATCCAAACCGCTCATGAGAAAGGGGGTTTTTTTTTTTGTATTTTTGTTTCTGCTCGGAATTTAAGCATTACCGTCTACGGCTCCTTTCTTTTTTCTTTTTTCTTTAAAAAAAAAAACCTGTAATAAAGAAGAATTATACTGCCAAGTTATTGCAAAGTAGCCTTCACCGATACGCTCAAGTCATGGGTTATTATTAGCCACGTTCACTTTCTCGTGGCATGGAACGTGGAACCATCGGTTCGGATCAGACTATACCCAAAGCAGTATAGCCACTAATTCCCCGCTGAGTGCTTTCGGTATTAGGTACCCGTCCCGTCCCCAGGCTCATTGCTAATCGCTTATTAGAATGTGGATGTTCTTATACGTGGGTAGATTGTTTACACGGATACCTGCACTTTCTTTCTGTGATATGTGGTATACTTGCAATGCATAACACTCTTAAATCCATACCGTGGAAGACAAAGTACTTCGTAGTGCCGAGGTACCCCACACGAGGCCAATGCCGAACGCCCTCCCGAGGCCTGGCTACCTAAGGTACCAGACGGATACGCAGTAATTACTTTCGTTGCTCTGGAGTCTGCTTACCTGTACTCTCCCCTTCCCTTGAGCTTCGGTGTCTGTCGAGCAATTGATCTACCCGAAGCCCGCGCTCGCATTGCCCTTGCTTGGCCTTCGCTGTCCTTGAATTCCTTCCCAACATCTTCCTCTTGCCTTCTCTTCTTCCTCGTTCTCGTGTGAAAGCCACCCTATAGGAATCCCCTCGCCTCGTCGATTTTCTCCCACCATGACCGACCAGGAACCCGTCGTCGCCGACCTCCCCAACGGCGAGCCCGTCCCCGTCGCCTCGGACTCGCCCGCCCCGGAACCGTCGTCGCAACAACCTGCAGAACAGCCTACCGAGCAGCCCACAGAGCAGCCCACAGAGCAGACGCCGCAGTCGCAGTCGCCGTCGCAGTCGCAGCAGCCCAAGTCGGCTCAGAAACAACAACAACAACAACAACAACAACAACCCTCCCTCGCCGCCCTCTCCAACATGGACGCCTTCCTGACCCGCCTCCACCGCTGCATGTCCACCCCGGCCGGCATCGACTCGATGCTCATGTTCGTCGGCTACACCTCCCGCCTGACCGCCGAGCTCCTCGACACCGCCGGCCGCTCCGCCCTCCACGCCACCGCCCACCGCCTCATCACCCTCGCCTTCTCCCTACCGCCCCGCTCCGCCATCCTCCTCGCCTCCGCCCCCGCCGCCCGCGCCAACCCGCTCGCCTCCCTCGCCCTCCAGCTCGCCGCCCGCCTCCGCGCCCTCTCCAACGTCCTCGGCGAGGGCCGCGTCTTCATGCGCTCGTGGGCTCTTCTTGCCATGTACCTCTGGGGCCGCCGCCTCGTCTCCTCCCTCCTGCGCCCCGCCGCCAAGGAAAAGGAAAACGAGAAGAAGAAGACGACGACGACGACGACGACGACGAGCCTCGACACCACCATCGCCTGCACCCAGTTCGTCTCCCTCTCCCTCTTCCAGGCCCTCGAGAACGCCTACTTCCTCGGCTCCAAGGGCGTCCTCCCCCTGACCCCGGCCCAGCAGGGCAAGGCCCTCCTCTGGGGCACCCGCGCCTGGGCCGTCTACGTCGGCGTCGAGCTGGGCCGTCTTTTCGTCGAGCACCGCCGGAAGAGTTCTGCCGGTGACGCCGATGCCTCGTCGGAGGAGCACAAGGCCTGGCGCCGGGGTTGGCAGCGCAGCGTGGTTCGCAACCTTGCCTGGGCGCCGCTTACTGTGCATTGGAGCCTTCAGAAGGGGTTTATGAATGACCTTACCGTGTGGTCTATTGCCTGCATTCCTGCTGTGATTGCGGGGCGCAGTGTGTGGAAGGAGAACGCATAGGCTGGCTGGGCTTTGTTGAGCACACAACGTGTATATAGGGTGGCTCTGCTTTGCTACCGTGCTGTAGCATCTTGCATGTCTCTTGTGTTTCATTTCATTTCTCATCAGCTGAACCCTGGTTTCCAAGATACCTTGGGGTGGATGTCTGGAAGTGACCTCATTAAAGCGGCCATATCTGGGAGCTACCAGAAATTCGGTGATTACCCAACATAGAGGCACGGGCATCACGCCTCATAAGAAGCATGTCATTCCATATTAATGCCCAACTTGCGGTATCTCAGCGCAGGTTACAGACACCTTATATCGTCCTGCAATGTCTTTAGTCGTGTCAAAGCAATATTTCATAGCGTTGGAGGCGAATATATTAGTGAGAATATCTGGGAGAGGTTTTTCTTTTCTTCTTTTTTTCTTCCACAAAATAAAATAAACCCAAATGAGACAGAATCGAGGTTAAACGTGATTTCTGTAGATATGCCTGTTCTAATCCTGAAGGATGGCTTTACGTGAGGTAGTATTACTGACGGATGGATAATTATATTTAGTCCGGGCCCAGACAACCATTTAAATACCGTAGACATCTCTCTCGTCTCTCCCGGACCTCATCTGTGATGCAAAGAAAAGCTCTTCACTCGCATGGCCAGCAGATGAGATTTTGCTTTACCCTGCTCACTTGCATGTCATGAGATCTCCCTCTTCCATCCCTCCTTTAAACATAAACTGTTCCTTTCGCCAAGATTCCCCCCCCGCCATTCTTCAGCCTCATTTTCCTCTCATCTCTCGACAGGACCCTCACCCTCGCTGTCGCCCTCTTCCATTCCGTCGTACACTCCGGTAGCCGCCTCTACATTGCTAGCCCCGACACCGACAGCCCGTCAGCCCGTTACTTTACGCTCAGGACCGCAACAGGCACGCGCGCCAACCATCCACTCATCCCCATCCCCGCCCGCCATGTCGTCAAGCCAGTCCCCGACGGGGAGCGCAACGGCCGGCGCCTCGGATCCCGAGACAACAACATCCGGGACTAGCCGTTCAGCGGCCGTCCAGTCGGAACCACTACCGCCGCTCTCACCCGCCGACTTTCGCGTCTACAACCGCCTAGCGGAGAAGATGGACTTTTTTGTAAGCTTGACTCTCCGTGCCCTCATCGACGCTTGACAAAAAGAGAAGAAAAAGAAAAGAAAAAAAGAAAAAAAAGGAAGAAAAGAAAAAAAAAAAAA